ACCAAATTGTTTAGTGTGGATGTCACTCACGATGGTTGTAATTTTTCTGAAGGGTTGTGACTTATCTGAAAAGACACGATAAGTACATTTTCATACTATCCTTTGTTGTCTATAAATAGATGGGGTTTGTCACACTTTTAAACTACGAATTTTGTAAGTTTTCTATTCTTCTTCTTAAAATAAGGAAGATTGTGAAAGTTGTTCAATTATGCAATTACAATATTTTTTGTGGATAAATTAGATAGATCAACAAAAATAAATGCAACAAGGAGAATGAAATAAGTCAACTTTAAACGATAAGAGTATCTTGATAATTAATAGTGAAAATTTCTAATATGACATATATTATACTAATATTTTTGAGTTATAGCAGTAGATTTAGACTTTCAAGTTATAACATTAAAATTTCAGGTTGTAACAGATTATTAAAAAAAAAGTTATTTTTAATAATTAAAAAAATTGATTTGAAAAGAACAAAAAGATAAAAAAAATAAAAAAAAAACGTTTCTGAAGGAAAAAATGAAAAAAACGGAAATAGGGGTGGCAATTAAATTTGAATTAATTTAAGATAATTATTAATTAGCATGAATTAAGGAATTTCAAACTAATTAAGAATATTCAGTTTCCTTAATTCACTCCAATTTGTATACAGATTATGAGAGTCAATCTATAATTCATATGTAGTTGATAACTGACTTGAAGAAAACAGTGCATATTCTATATCATTCAATACTTAAAACTGTATAAAAAACAAATATATATCGTTCAAAAGTTAAAAAGACACGAAATACTAAAGAGTCTAAGCTGCAATCAGCTATCTCAAATTTGATCTCCGTAGTCTTGGTGTAGGATAATTGCTGGTATCTGGAGCATGTTCTTTTGCTATGTGGAATCCATCAAATTTGCTAGCAACAGTACCAGTTACCTCACTCTCACTGATCGCGCCATCATCATTCTTTGTTTTTCCGCATTGCCATCAACCTAGTTGGAGAAATTGAAAAAGAAACCTTATTATAAAAAAATTTAGGTATTATAAGAAAATACCAATTTCATACCAACATTAGTCATAATTTATACAAAAAAATTGTTGATTTAACAAACTACAATCAATTCACATAATTGGACCATTGATATCACACCATTTTCTGATAAAAATAATACACAACTTAAGTCAGCTTTCATACCAACAATAAATCAATTTCATACCAATGTTAAAACACATTTCATACCATATTCATAAATCGTATATTAAGTCAGTTTTCATACCAATACTATTCATGTTTCATGCCAGATTAGTAGACATAATGAGAATAATTTGAAAAAAAATAGATTTCCTCTAAACTGTGTACCAACTTCATACCAGATTTAAACAAGTTTCACACCAAATATAAGTAATACATCATACCATTTTTATACCAAATTTTATACCAATTCATGCCAACATTAGACAAAATTCATACCATATTCATAAATCGTATATTAAGTCAGCTTTCATACCAATA